TGCCCACCCCCTCCCGCCTTCTCTTTTCCTTGCCTATGCCTCCGGGAGAGACGCAACTCCTCACAGTTGTACTCCCGGAGGGGTTTTTTGCTTTTGTTTTGAGGACATGCTGGCTAGGAGGGATGCACGATGACGACATTTTGCCTCACTTTAGAGGCACCCAAAATGACCACCGCTATGGAGGAACTTCACATAAGGTCAGTTTTTAAGCCCATAGGAATGTATTAAACGTGTTTTAATACGTTCCTATGGGCTTTTTAAAATCGCTTAGCAATTAAATCACTTAGCGACGTTTTTCCTGGACCTTGTTTATTTATACTGTTCCAGAGATCCACACTGGATCTTAATAGGATTGTAGTCCAAGGAATCTTCCAATGCTTCTAAATCACAAAATTTATAGCCCAAGATTGGATGAGGTTATTAAACGTTCAAAAATTAAGCAAAAAGAAAAAAGAAAGAAAGAAAGAAAATAAAAATACCAGGAAAGGAAAAAGACAAGACAAAAAAGGAGAAAGAGACAAAGAAGAAAAATCCAGCTACTTCAAAAATGAAAAAGCAGTAGGAGAAAAAAGCCTTCGGAGAATAAAGGAGAAAAAAATGAAATAAAGGGATATGAACAAACCAAACCAGCATATCCACTAGATCCCAAGGGGGTAGGAGGGTGCAATAATCATTATTTGTACAGTTCCAGAGATCCAAATTAAGTCTAAGAGCAAAGTAAAGAAATGTATCTTCATTAGATTTATCAATGCTGTGTCTTCTGCATCCTCTGTTGTCCTCTGCTGCCCTCCAGTGATTTTTCCTAGAACGAATTTAGAACTTTTTCTTCATTATTGAATGGCAAATAATGAGTTAATCCTGTATGCTTATCGCAAGGATAGTGTTAAAATCCCTGGGGAGTTTTTGAATGTATGCCAGTAGCAAAGAAAAAAACAAAAAAACCCACAAATACTGTCTACTCAATACGTGCTTTGCCAGAATGGTGCTTCTGCTTTTTATGCAGGAGGTGTAGTAGTTGGATTTCTAGTTCCAGTTTCATCACAGTGGTACCACTCTTGTTTGGGGCTCTGAGCAACGAGGGGGGATCCTGTGCTCAGGGGTGTTCACAGTGGGCATAAGGGGACCTGGAGAGTCCCCGAAGGAGAAGTGCAATTCTTGGGTCTGGATTGTGAGGGCGGCAGTAACTCATGAGGGACCCAGTAGCCTCTTTCTCTCCTGTAGTGGTGAAGGGGAGGGGCTAAATGAAGCCCTTCCAAAAGAGCTGTTGACTCCAGAAGATAGAAAACCCAGCGAAAAACAAGCAAAATCCTCTATGGTGTGACTCTGCAATTTGTCCTTTCTCTTTCCTTTGTTCCTGGTCCGTTTGAGCTCCTCCTTATATATTTTTTGTTTGTTTTACCAACTCCTTCCCATTGAGAAGGATAGCTGTGGAGGTGTGGAGGAACTGGATTATAAAGTGGGAGTGAAACTGAAGAATCAACTGAAAGTCAAATGTAAATGAGGATTTAAAAAGTGTATGTGGTTTTTCCTTTATTGCATCTGGTGAGACCGCTTGGAAAATTACAGGAAACTTTCTCTGAAAAAGAGGGACGTGTCTTTCTAAACTTACTACAACTCCAAAATGATCTTGATAGGATGGAGCACTGGGCTGAAAGCAACAGAATGAAATTCGTATTAATTTTGGCTAGAGGTGGTTCCAGTTTCATCAATGATGTCAGCTGTCATGATCTGGGCATTGCAACAGTTGTTTGTGACACATGGATTACCAGATACCATAGTATCAGACAATGGCACACAATTTACTTCAGCAGAGTTCCAACAATTCATGGCAGCTAATGTGATCCATCAGATTAGAGCAGTCCCATTTTATCCATTGACTAATGGAGAAGCTGAAAGAATGGTGTGGACAACAAAGGAGTCTCTGTGGAAAATAATCTATGGGGACTGGCAGTTAAGGCTGGCTGAATTTGTATTACAACACATCACCCCACATACGAGGATGGGCAGGAGTCCTGTGGAATTATTGATGAATAGGCATCTTACATTGTTGTTGGACAGACGGCACCCAGACTTGACATTTGGTCATCCCCCTAGGTGTGAGGTCATTTCAAGTGGGTGATATGGTTTACACCCAAAATTATAATGGTGGACAAGCATGTATCCTGGCAATGGTGACAGGAATAACGGGATCAGTGTCATATGGGGTCACCACTGGAGGAGGAAAAGTGCTACGATGACATGTGATCAACTATGGCATAGGTGGAGTGATGAGATAAGCGTGCCAGATAGAGGCATTCATCCAGAGGGAATGGAACATCTGGAAGTCCCAGTAGATCAAAGGGGGAGCCCTCTAGTGACAGAGACTGAAACAACAGAGACTGGAATGATGGGATGCCGAATAACTCCTGAGGGGGAAATAATTCCTGAAGTAAAGATGAGGGGTGATCCAGTATTGATAAACGATCAAGGACATGCTGAGACAAATGTGAATGAAGAGCCAAGGCACTCACAACAGGTGAGGGTCTGACCAAAATATTTACAGGATTTTATTTGTAGCTAGATTTTTAAACTTGAGTTGGGAGGAGGGTGTTATGTAGTGAGTGTAGCAGTGGGAGTAGTTTTTGCCTGTGCTGTTGGGTTGTTGTCCAGCTGTAGGTAATTAGGGGGAGTGGGGTGGTTCCTTGGGTGAGCGTTGTATGAATGTGCATGTGTGTTTTACTTGGCATTTTTTGCTTTATTTTGTTTCCTGGAAATGCTGAATAAAGGCATGTTGATGTATGACTGGAGTCATGAACCCACTATTTAACACTTTCTGTTTCCTCAATTTTTTCCTGGCCTCTAGTTCCTTCTTTTTCCTGGTCCATGAATCAAGAGGAAATTTCCATTATTGTTTAACCTCCTCTCCTTTCTTTGCTTTTGAAACTGGTTCATACCGTGTATCTTCTGTTCTGCTCTAGCTACCCCTAAGGTAGTCCAGAAATGATTGAGCGCCATGCTATATGTTCCTAGGAAATGTATATGTGTCATGCAAAACACATCAAATAGACATTATGATATAATGCAGCTAAATGCAAATTGTCCCTTGAAAGATCAAAATGTAGGGCAAGTGATTCATTCTCCAGGAGCTAGGATGGACCTGAGAAGGGATATCAAATATAATTTCTTTCTGGAGCTGATGGTATTTCATTTCCTTATTATTTAGCACCACAGCAAAACCTATGCAAGGTTAGCAATGCATGAGTGCTTCAGCAAGAGGCTATTGTGAGCTGGTATAATTCGAGGGCTCACTTGATTTTCAATGCAAAGAGAAACTATAAAGATTGCTGTCTTCTTTGTTTCTGGCTGAATTACTTCCAGTGCTTTACCTCCCGGAAAACAAGATCAATTTTGTTTTAATTAAATCAGCACAGATTTTCATTTCTCTCCTCATTCTCCTTGTTGTTCCCCATGGGACTGGTTTAGCATAAAAAAAGAGTTACAATGAGATGCCTCATTTTTAAAAAACTGAAAGAAATGCTGCATTATACTCAGTTTCAAATCTATTTTTAAATCATTATAATTGGACTCCATGTTCATACAGAAGAAACCTTATTTTGGTTTTGGAATTAATATGATAAAGTCTGATTTATGTCTGATAGGTTTGGGTTGGGACAGGACCTTTCAGGAGGAACTGGGGAGAGTTGGAGGATAAGCATGAGAAGTTTCCTTTCCGTCTCCTTTCTCACATGTCAGCTTCAAATCTGGGTAGAAATAGCCTAACTTTCATCTTTACACCAGCTTCCAGATCACTTTTCATTTTGCACTGAATATACAACAATATGAAATAATTTGTTCATTTCTCCCAATGGTTCCTGGAACCATGTTTAAACAATAAATTTCTTAAACCAAACAAATCTCTCCCATTTCTTAAATCTCTTTTCATCTTCCTTCACAAATGTATGATTTTTCATCCAGCCCTTTTCCCAAGATGCTCACCCGTTATCCCATTTTGTCTCTCAGTAGCTCAGTGGGAATTTATTTAGTTTAGAAACTAGATAAACACAGATGGCCATTCCCCAAGTGCTGAATATTGTCACAGTGGTTGCATGTTTTAATCCTGAGACATTTTTATCTATGTTAGCTGCCTGGAAGGAAAAATAGATCACACAGAGATAGAGAGTTGACTCCACAGCCAGGTACCTAAACCACTGCACCTCCTGCAAGTACAGCCAGCATATGTGGCATTAGGCAAATTGAACTATTCTGGGACACCTCCAGAATAAGGGAATGGTAAACCACTTCTGAATATTGTCTACCTGGAAAATCCTGAAAAGGATCACCATACATCAGAATTCATGGCACATTATTATTCTGTATCAGCAAAGCAACACTGCATCCTGACATATAAATGACTAGTTTCTTTTAGTTGGAGTAGGGATGTGCAAATCCCATTGTCAAGTAGCCAGTAGCAATTGCCTCATCCATGCTGGTGCCTTATTGTCATCTGCACAGATCTGAGAAGAAGGAAAGAAATAGAGCAGCACTGTTTCTTACCTTCTCTGCACCTCTGTGCAAATGAGAAAAGTCTGCCTCTCCCTCATCTTTCTTCTGGCATATGTGAAAAGCTTGGAGAGAAAGTGGAATCTTATCGCATCAGAACTATTTCTTACCATCTCCATTTCAGAGCATATATAATTAAAAGTCCATCGTTTTCATTACTACTCTCTAGTATGACCATGTCATAGGGCTTGAATAAGGAGAGGGAGTGGTTTGATGGTCTTCACTAACTATTGTTTACCATAATCCTGTTGCTTAGCATAGTAAATCAAGCTAGCGTAGGCCCAATGAATCTATGGGGAAATGGTGATTAAACTGCTCCATAAATTTCATTACCTTAAATGGGTGTAGTCTAATTGCTGAAGTTACTTTAGCATAGCAAGTCACAGCGTAGGCCCATTTCCATCAATGGAGCTTACAGAGGATTTTACTTACAAAGTCCCAGTTGATTCAATGGACTTAATTTAGAGCAATCTACTACACTCATTACCAGGATTTTATCTATTTATTTTATTTTAAATATATTTTACCCTACCTTTCTCCTTGAAAAAGACTCAAGGAGGCTTACAACAGTGAAAGGCAATATTTAAAGTTGATAACAATGAGTAAACAATGGTGGTTAACATCATTAAAAGACAGTATTTAAAGCTAAGAACAAAGAGTAAAGAGACATCTTACATCATTAAAACGCTATATTAAAACTAAGAACAATAAGTATACAATTTTTTAAAAATGCCACTCTGAAAAATGGAAAACACAAAAATAGAAAACACGAATAGTACTAAAAATCCAGTCAAAATAGTCATGCATAACAATCCATCTAAAAATCACACACAGGTAACTGGTTACTGAGGGAAGGATCTTTGCCTGCTTGCGGAAGATGGGGCTGGGATGGCCCCCTGTGGGAGGGAGTTCCAGAGTCTGGAAGCAACAACAGAGAAAGATCTCTAATGGTTCCCTGTCATTTCCCCCTTTGAAGGTGGTGGGACTGAGGAAAAGTCCTCTCCTGATGATCTTAACACCTGAGCTGTCTCACAATGGGAGATATGATCTTTGAGATAGATTGGACCCGAGCCATTTAGGACTTTATAGGTTAAAACCAGCACTTTGAATTGTGCCTGGAAACTGATCATTAGCCAGTAGAGCTGTTGTAAATACTGTAGCTGTTATAACCATCAATCTGGCTGCTGCATTTTGGATCCACTGAAGTTTCCTGATACTTTCCATCAGCAGCCCCACATAGATCATGTTACAGTAATCCAGCTGGGAAGTAACTAGGGTGTGAATCACAGTGGCCAGATCAGATCTCTCAGGAAATGGGCATTGCTGATACACTAGTTTTAATTGTGCAATAGCTCTCCTGGCTGCCACTGAGACCTATGCATACAGGCCCAGGGATGAATCTAGGAGCACCCCCAAACTGCTCCTTGATGTGCCTTTCAACTGATAAAGAGCACCTCTGACTTGTCTGGATTTTTAATTTATTCACCTTCATTGACTCCATTACTGACACCGGACACTATTTTAGAACCGAAACAGCTTCCTTGGATTTCGATGGAATGGAGAGAGAGAGTTGGGTGTCATCCGCAGACTGGTGACACCAAACCCCCAAACTCCAGATAATTTCTCCCAGGATTTTGGCTGCTGTATAGTAAGTGCAGCCAAAATATTGGGAATCCCCAAGTTTGCATTACCTCAGGGTTGCTTCAGTGGCTGTGTGAACTTGATTTGTGAGAATAGAGACATTAGAAATGAATGGCTATAGAAAAAAGTAGTTGTAGTACAACTCTGTAGAATTGTTACATTAGTTAGGCATCCTTCAGTCTCGAAAGACTATGGTAACGTGCTCTGTATGGAGGACTTGGAACAGCGTCTAGTGTGGCTGAGAAGGTCAATTCAAGAGTGACAATCCCTTCCACACTGAAGACAAATCCAATTTGTCCCCTGTCCAGCTCCCTGATTTTCCTGCTTTTGTGATTTCCTCTTTGCCTCGGCCTGCTGGACAAGGGTCTCTTCAAAATGGGAGAGGCCGTGATGCACCGCCTGCCTCCAGGCTGAACACTCAGATGTCAGGGTTTCCCATCTGTTGAGTTCCATTCCTAAGGCCTTCAGATACCACTTGCAGATGTCCTTGTATAGCAGCTGTGTTACCCCTCTGGGGTGATGTCCCTGCACTAATTCTCCATACAGGAGATCCTTTGGAATCCGACCATCAGCCATTCTCATGACGTGCCCAAGCCAATTACTGTTTCAGTAATTTATACATGTTAAAAAATCCGGCTCATTCTAGGACTACTCTATTTGGAACTTTGTCCTGCCAGGTGATACCAAAAATCCGTCGGGGGTAACGCATATGGAAGGTGTTCAGCTTCCTCTCCTGCCATACACAAAGGGTCCAGGACTCACTGCAGTACAGGAGTGTGCTCAGGACACAGACTCTATAGACCTGGATCTTGGTATGTGCTGTCAGCTTCTTATTGAGCTCTTTGTGAGTCTAGAGAACATGGTAGCTGCTTTGCCAATGCGTTTATCCAGCTCGACATCTAGAGAGTGTGTGTCAGAGATTGTTGAGCCAAGGTACACAAAGTCATGAACAACTTCCAATTCTTGTGTAGAGATGGTAATAGAGGGAAGTGAGTCCACGCCCTTGCCCATGACTTGTGTTTCCTTCAGGCTGATTGTTAGTCCAAAGTCTTGGCAGGCCTTGCTAAGACGATTCATGAGTTGTTGGAGGGCTTCAGCAGAGTGGCCAACAATGGCTGCATCATCTGCAAAGAGAAAGTCCTGTATGCATTTCAGTTGGACTTTGGTTCTTGCTCTCAATCTAGAGAGATTAAAGAGCTTTCCTTCTGATCTAGTCCGGAGATCAACACCATCTGTTGCAGTTCCAAAGGCGTGCTTCAGCATGACAGCAAAAAAGATCCCAAAAAGGGTTGGTGCGAGGACACAGCCCTGTTTCACTCCACTTCGCATGTCAAAGGGATCTGATGTTGAGCCATCAATAACTACAGTGCCCTTCATTCCTTCATGAAAGGACCTGATGATGTTAAGGAGTTGAGGTGGACATCCAACCTTGGGAAGTATTTTTAAAAGGCCATCCCTGCTAACCAAATCAATGGCCTTTGTGAGATCTATGAAGGCCACAAAGAGTGAGGGAATCCAAGGCCGCTTTTATTTCTGCTAAGGTTGGTTCACTGTCCAACTCTTCCAAGACAGACAGGCATTCAATGTTATTTAATGCTTCTTCAGTTACTACATTCTCTCTGGAATATAGCTCAGAGTAGTGCTGCACCCAGCATTCCATCTGCTGTGCTCGGTTCTGGAGGATCATACCTGTAGCAGACTTCAAGGGAGCAGTTTTCTTCTGTATCCGATCTAAAGGCTGCTTGATACCATCATACATTCCTTTGATGTTACCTGTGTCCACTGCTATCTGTATCTGAGAGCAGAGCTGAAGCCAATATTCATCGGAGCATCTCCTGGCAGCCTGTTGGACTTGACTACAAGCAGCTCGAAGAGCTTGAAAGTTGTACACGCTAGGACAGGCTTTGTATGATACTAGAGCTCTTCTCTTCTCCTCGATGGCTGGCATCAACTCCTCTGAATGGGCTTCAAATCAGTCAGCCATCTTTTTGGTCTTCTTGCCAAAGGTGGACAAGGCGGTGTTATACACAGTGTTTTTGAAATGTTCCCATCGTTCAGGTGCATTTATATTAGCTGGACCTGGAAGTCTTTCCTCAAGTGCTTGGGCAAATTCCTTCACTTTTCTTTGATCGTGAGTCTTGCTGATGTCAATACGTGATCTTCCTTCCTTTTTTGTGTGATACAATCTCTTTGTTTACAGTTTTACTCTTCTATGCACCAGGGAGTGATAAGTATTGCAATCAGCACTCTAGTAACTGCGTGTAATCCTAATACTAGGAAGGCTAGAATGTCTAGTGAGGATCAAATCGAGCTGATGCCAATGCTCAGATTTTGGATGTCTCCAGGAAACTCTATGTTGAGGCTTTGTATTAAAGAACATGTTGCTGACACAAAGACCATAATAACAGCAAAACTCCAGCAAGCATTGGCCATTTTCATTAATCTTTGCAATGCCAAAACGGCCTAGACAGGTGGGCCAAGAGTTGTGATCAGCACCAACTCTACCGTTAAAGTCTCCGAGAATGAACAGTGACTCTCTTTCAGGGACTTTTTTTGATAGTAGCTGCCAGATCGTCATAAAATTTGTCTTTCACTTCTGTAGTAGATGACATTATTGGTGCATGTGCACTAATGAGGGCTACTGGTCCTGCTGATGAGTGGAACTGCAGAGACAGGATTCTTTCACTCCCCACAATAGGTGGAACAATGCATCTCAGGAGAGTATTTCCGACTGCAAAGCCAACACTATATTCTCTGGTCTCATTTGATGGTTTTCCCTGCCAGAAGAATGAGAAGTTTTTTTTCTTTGACAGATCCCAAGTCTGGCAATCTCATCTCTTGCAGGGCAACAATGTCCATCTGCAGTCTATTCATTTCCATGTCAATGACAGCTGTCTTGCGCACATCGTCTATTTCTTGCAGGTCGTCAGGAAAGCCGTAATCAGAAAAGCCAATGGTCATTGTCCGAACATTCCAGGTGCCCAGCTTGAGGGCAGAAGTTTTCTTATGATTGTTGCATGGTGCACAATTATCAATCTGCTTGTTGGGTTTCACCCTAAACCCCACACACCCTGTGAAGTTAACAGACCATGGCAAGGTAACACTTTACTGGCTGGGGGCTGCCCAGCTTAAGGCGGGTGGTATCTACTTAGTGAGGTGCAATGACCTCTCCCACCATCAGACGTAGCCCCTGGCATCATGCTCTACGCCAATCGAGCAAAGACTTATAACCAGTAACTGCTACTTCCCGTGTTGTTTCGACGCTGTATGCAAAGCTGGCATGTCCTCTCCAGAGCATGAAGCCTGGGTAAAATAATATGAAGGATAGGCTGTTACCCAAGAAGCAAACCCCCCTCTCTATGTTGCTGAAATAGTCCAGTGGAAAGGCAAGAGCTGATACAACTGGTTTCAGCGACATTGCAGGATTTGCCAGAATGACACAAACTGCCTCTGGGACACCAGCTCCAGATTTTGCCTCGATTTTAACTCCTGAAGCCTTTTCCATAAGTGGAATAATATGAAGGATAGGCTGTTACCCAAGAAGCAAACCCCCCTCTCTATGTTGCTGAAATAGTCCAGTGGAAAGGCAAGAGCTGATACAACTGGTTTCAGCGACATTGCAGGATTTGCCAGAATGACACAAACTGCCTCTGGGACACCAGCTCCAGATTTTGCCTCGATTTTAACTCCTGAAGCCTTTTCCATAAGTGGATATAGCCACAAGGCAGTGGAGGTTTGAAATCGGAGTTTTCTTTCTCCTAGATGGGCTGCTTTCCAGGACTGATGAGCCCCACCTACCTGGCCTGCTCTCTAAAAAGTATACTCCCCCCAGGTGTATTCAATGCTAATTGGCTTTTATATTTACCAAATTAGGGTCAAAAATAGGATTAGAGAATTCCACACACCGTTAGACACACTCTCCTGCTCATCCTCCTTTAAAGCTGAAACTCTGCCCTCCCTCAGGCCATTCCTATTTATCATATTAGGATCGGAGATAGAATCAGAGTATTTGAGAATTTCTCAAATACTCTGGCACACCCTAATTCAAAGCAGTAAGCCCTCCTCCTTGGGCCATGTGATGAGGGAGGACAAAAGAAGGCCCACAAAACAGACTCCTCAGCAAAATGTCCATGCAAACATACCTGACCTTCATCCCCAGCCAAAACCTCCTAGTTACGTACATATCTTCATTATGCACCATTCACAGTTTGAACTTCTTAATTTGCTTCTGTTCTGTCCTGGAATCCTCAACAACTTCAGTAAAACCAACTAACATGTAGGGCTGAGAGGAAAAGAGGGGGGAAATTCCATTTACATTTTCTCCCTCCATGAAAACTTCCCCCGTGACTATTTTCTTTTTCACAGAGTGACATGTGATCCAGTTGATACAGATACCCATTTCTGTTCTTTGCACAAAATTGAAAGTGATTGGAAACCCAATCAGATTTTAAATACATGTTCTACTTCAGCCTTTGCAATTACCTGTACTGATATTGAGAGCTTCTTCACAACCGTGATTATGGGCTGTGAGGCCACTGAAGCTATTTATGTGTAGCCCGCATAATTAACTTGTAAACCGCCCAGAGAATGCTTGAAGCACTATGGGGCGGTATATAAGCAGCACGCTTTGCTTTTTTTTATGATATTGAAAGAGAGTGGGATTTGTAGTCACTGAGGATGAGAGAAAATGGAGTCTGTTAGATTTCAAAGTGAAATGATTTGAAGACATTGGAATGTGGTAAAGGCTGAGAGGCTGTTTTTCCTAATTTACAGCTAGGCTGGAACAGAGTGAATCCTGACAGGTGTGCAAGGTCGAGGAGGCCCAGTGAAAAGACCCAACAAATTCCAGTCTAATTGGGAAGGAGATAATGCACCTGCATCTCCATGAGAATTGGGGGTGAACAGTTAGGCCTCCTTGAGTTAATTGGTTAACAGTCATGAAGAAGGAGGTCCGAGAGGTGTAGAAAAGATGGAGAAGAAAAGATGTTGTTAGCTCTTAGCTTATGCGAATCTAAGAAGGATTGATGATGGATTGTGTGATGTAGCTGGATGTTTGCAGAATGTAGAATGGTAAGAAGAAGGATGGGTGGGATTAGCCCATCACAGCTTAGATCTTAGAGTTTCTAATTTTTAATAAGAAATAACCGCTTTATTTAACTACTGTAATCTTTGAACATGTTATTCTGCTGCTGCTTAAGCAAAAGAACTGTTTCTATGAATCTTTATTTTCTTAATAAAAATAATTATAAGTAACCTCATTGAGGATTAATCTCTTGGACCAGTAGGATTTGGCTAAATCCAGAGGAGTGGAAAGGCCACTAACTGGCTACTAGAGTGGTCTATTGACTAGATAGGCGGGATATAAATAAAATAAATAAATAAATAAATACTATAGAGAAGTCCTATTTAAGTGAGCTGTTGTGAGTTCTAAGGAATCACAAATCCCATGTTCAAGTACTTGCAAGGTACTGAGTAAAGTGAAGTGTTTTTCAAACATCAGGCTTGTCTACAGCACAGATGCTATGCACTGCCGAGGGTTGAGGACTTACCTTAGTGTAAAGTGATAGATTTTGAGCCTGAGAGACTCCCTGACCAAGTACCATACTCTCTTTAGGGAGGTTTGGTTGCTCACATGGTGGCAGCTGTGAGACAGACAATCTGAGCTGATCAAGAGACTGATCCGTTTTAGAAACAGTTTGCATGTTCAAAGTACTGTAGAATAAGGCTGTTTTTCTTGAGTTGTTATTTTGCTTAGGTGAGATGACAGGAAGGAGAGCTAATTCACAGCTCACTCATGGATTGCCTAGAGGCATGGATCACCTTTTGTCCCAAGAATTGGACAGATTTGTCCTCACAGAGACTATGCCAGTGCCTATGTGATAGATTTGGGGCCTAAGAGACTCCCTGACCAAGCGCCATACTCTCTTTAGGGAGGTTTGGTCACTCACAATCCTTACCTTAAATTACAGTTTTTAAGTGTGTCTGTCAGATGAAAAACACAAGGCCTTGGATTTAATTTGTTTATTCATTTTTTTATTTAAACAGGGGAATTTAAGCTTTTCATGTGAGGAGCCCTACACTGTTCCTGTCTTTTTCAATGGAACAAGTTTTCTGGAATTGCCGGGCCTTCAAAACCAGGACCTATTTTCAGTCAGCTTTCAGTTTCGGACTTGGAATCCAAATGGACTTTTACTGTTCAGCAGCTTCAATGAAGAATTGGGAACTATAGAGATTGACTTAACTGAGGGCAAAGTCAGCATTCATATCAATGTCACTGGAGTGAAGAAGAACCAAATAGACATATCTTCAGGTGAGCACAATAACTCCAGTTATTTATTTTCTTAAAGCCTTCTCATGATGATTTCATAATTGTGGATAGTTCTCCATGTAAATTTCATTCTTTTTTATCATTATATATTTTGTACTGCTTTGGCTACGATGGAGAAACTAGAAACATTTTCTTATATAGGATGTATTTAAGTCACAAAGACCTTGCTTCTACTGTTGTCGAAATGAAGATGTCCACGGAATTGTAAGCTAGATACTTTATTCACTTAATTTCAGGACTTTCCTGAAATTACCAGGGTTTCCTGGAATTACCACTCAAATGTTAAAAACACTGATAGTGGAGCTATATGTCTATTCTGTGGTGAGAGGGCTGAGGTCAACAATAGTTACAGTTGTTAATGAACTCATATTGCACCATCAGCGTGCACTGCACTTTACAAAATAACATGGAAAAATTAACAAGCTTACTGCCTAGAATTTTACATAGCAAGAAGAGAAAGAGAGATAAAAGTAGTAACAATGTACTGTATTTTTTGCTCCATAAGACATACTTTTCCCTTCAAAAAAGTGAGGTGAAAACTCTGTGTGTCTTATGAAGTAAATACATTGCATTTGGTTCCCTCTAGTGGAGGGAACGCTCATCTGGAAGGACGCTGCCTCAAGCTTGCTGGGACTAGGCAAAATGGTGGTGGCTTAACAGACCCCCCCAGTACTGTACTCATTAGTAGTGCTGATACTACAGGGCATCTGTAGCAGCCCTGTAGGACCAGCACTGCTTACTGAACAGCTGGATCACGTGACCAGCCCAGATGCCAGGGGGAGCAGAGAGAGAGAGAGAGAGAGAGAGAGAGAGAGAGAAGAGCTCCACGGAGGAAGGGAGAAGACTCATCCAGGTAATGTAAATGACATAATACAGAGGAATTCCTGGTTGGATTGCTGACTGGTGACATTAAAGGGCACATGAGGCATTGTTGGGGAAAAGTAGGATTTGTTTCAGTTGCTCAGTGAGTGAAAGGCTTTTGGTTCTTTTGAGATTTGACATACTATTCAAAACAACCCACTCTAATGGTATCTTAAACCTGAATTTTTGATACTTTACACTGATGTATTGCGCCTTGGGATGTCTACTTCACTCCCCTAATGGTGAACATAATTCACCAAAAGTATTATATAAAGTAATGGATCTCCTCACGTGGGACCACTCTGCCTATAGAGATACCATACAACTTTATTACACTATTTGGTTCAGAATATTTTTTCCTGTTTTCCTCCTCCAAAAATTAGCTGCGTCTTATGCTGAGGTGCATCTTATGGAGCGAAAAATACAGTATGTACCGTGAATACAGTTAGAATAATTAGTGAGCAACTTCAGATGTTTTGGACTAGAGTTTCCCTAATTTGTGCTAAGTGGAATTTATGGGAGTTGCAAATCAAAAACCCCTGAAAGTGTCCGTTTGCCTAGAGGAATACAATCATCCACTAGGCCCCCAAGGGTCATGTCAATTTAATGAGAAAATAGGTGTCCTCTACACACAGCTGTCTCCAACCAACATTATTAATTCAAACATTCTGCAACATAAAAATACTTTAAAGGAACAGAAGGTCTGAGAGTGTGGAGATGATGCAGGCCTGCCTGTTCCTACAAGCTTCTGCTCAGAACTGACAATATTTCCTTCTATTCCTCTCACAAGGCCTGCCAGCACTGAGGCCTTCTGGGGTTGTCTCTTGGTGGGAAGGGAAAGCCCAAAGTAGCTGTTTTCTTGTGTAGTTCTGGCACAATATTTATATTAAAGTTTGGCTTGGGGAGCAGGGCATCTGATTTTTTTGATATGCTTCATCAATTTCTCATATCACTAGCAATTATTTGCCAGAGGTATGAGAATTCTCCATCTCTAGGGCAAGGCATGAATTTCCTTAGCCAATGTGAAATCAAACAGAACACAATTAACAACCAGATAGAGGCAGACTGAGAGTATCTTCCTCTTTCAGAAGGCTTTTATGCCAGCAGTTGAAAGCTGATGCCCTTTTTAAGAACTCCAATTTATTTATGACACATTGTGGTGGTGGTTTATTTTTAGGATTGCTTTAAATCTTACACTGTAGCTTAATTGTTACGTATCTATCTTACTGACATAAATTCATGCAAAAATATCTTCTTTTTTCTTCATAGTATACAGAATTACTGGGTTTGCTCCCCTAAGTAAAATTCACTGGATTAGTATGTGCTTATTTCTGAACTAGCTTGACTTATGGAAAGAAAGAAAAAGAGAGTGATGGTTTTATTTGAAAAAAACAAAACAAAACCTTTCTAGGATAATAAATTCCATATTCCTTTATTTGTCATTGATAATTATAAAATGACAACAGTCTTACAAGATCTATCTCTGAACTTTCATTGAAGTGTTGGACAGAAATTTCTCCGCCACATCCATAAAGATATCCACAGTTCATGCACGTGCACATGAACACACATGCAATCCTCTCAGCATAAAAATGCCAAATCATGTAGGAAAAAACCACACAATTGACTCTACCATCAGCTTCTGGCATCCTTATGCAAGGGTATTTTAATAGTACAAATAGCATCAGACCAAGTTGTTTTCCATGAAATTGGAGGGGAAGGGGAAGAGATCCACATTGACACGTGTATATGGGAAAGAAAAACAGTAAGAAGCAAGAAAAAAATCCCACCCTGTGTGTGTTCACCAACCCCCTCAATCCCTATAAAGTTTGGTAAAATGTAATTCCCAAAGTGTTAAATCATACTCCCAGAAGTGTGCACACATACGATGAGCCTGTTTTAGATGAGAAAAGGCCTTTTTAGAAACCAGAATCAACTGTACCATTAATGCCACATACTTTTTTAAAATTTAATTTAAAATCGTGTTCCAGAGGAAACAGCATTTAAAAATTCTATTTTTTATTTTACTACTTATTCTAAACATTTATGTGTGTTTATCTGCAGCCAGTTCAATTCTTAGATATGATGATGGTTGATTTCCAAAGTGTCTGAGATATTTAAAGCCGTTGGCCTGTGGTGTACCTCAGGTTCTGTTTTGTCCCCTATGCTATTTAATATCTATACGAAGCGACTGGAAGAGGTTGTCAGTTGTTTTGGGCTTCGCTGTCATCAATATGCAGATGACACATAATTTTATCTTTCTTTTCCATTAAAATCTAAGGAAGCTATTTCAATTCTGTATTACTGTCTGATGTCAGTAATGGACTGAGGACCAGTAAACTGAAACATAATCTAGACAAGACAGGGGTGCGCCTGGTCAGTAAAAAGACAGATCAAGGAACAGGGATTCAGTCTGTATTGGATAGGGTTATACTTCCTTTGAAAACACAGGTGTGCAGTTTGGAGGTGCCACTGGATTTGACTCATCAGGGGAGGTCTTCCTCTCAGTCCCACCATCTCACATGTGCTTTTTTTGGGGACACAAGAGAGGGCATTCTCTGTCACTGCTCTTCAGGCAAACTTTTCCTTAGTGACTGACTCTCTGGGAGACAATAAATGGGATGATTTACATTTTGTTGCTTCTAAATCTGTTTTTAGTGATGGTTTTACATAATGTTTTTAATAAAATGTTAATTCTTTTTTAAGATTTGAATAAATTATTATTTTTTTGTTTTAATATGTTTTTATGAGGTAAGCCACTTTGGGTCATTTCTTAGGAGAAAGGTAGGGTAAAAATTTTTTACCAGTGTTTAACCACTTAACTTGGGCAGTTTACATATAAAATAAAAATAAATTGAGGTAAAATCAAAATTAATCACAAAGTCTGAGATGGGGAAAGGAAAAAAGAAGAAAAAGAAGAGAGAGCACGAGAAAAGGAAGATAGCCTAGGTCAGTGGTCCCCAATCTATTCAACACAATGGACCAGTTGGGGGAGGATGGGGTCTGTGTGCAGGGAAGGTGGAGCACCCCCAGTGTTCATGCACAAGCGTGAAGGGGTGGGGTGTGTGCACACATGTTCTTGTGCATGCATGAAGGGACGGAGGTGCTCACACAGGCACACGTGCATTCACGCGAAGGGGTGGGGGTTCTTGCGTGGGTGTGGTCACATTTGCATGCATGCACAAAGGGGCAGGGGCACTCGGGTGCACACACATACTCTCTCTCACACACAAAGGGTCTGTGTGGGGGTGGAGTGCGTGCAGGGTGGCCCTTTCGGCCCCTGTCTCTCTCGTCTGTGTGCCCTTCTCCTCCTTCAAAGTCTAGGCCACAGACCAACACCAGGCTGCAGACCAGGGTTTGGGGACCCCTGTGCTAGGTAATGGCTGTAGGGAAGACCTGTCTGTATAACCATGTCTTCAAGCTAGTCTTCAAGGCCCTCAGCGAGGCAGCCAGGCAAATCTCTACAGGTAAGTTGTTCCATAGGAGAGGGACCACTGCCGAGAAGGCCCGATTTCTAGTTTTTTCCCACTGGGCCTCTCTTGGAGTTAAGCCCCTCATCCACTCTGCCTGACTGGAGTGGGTGATATGGGTAGAACTGGATGGAAGAAGGCGCTCTGCAGGTATCAAGGGCCTAGACTGTGTCTAGATAGGGCTGCAGGTGGGTGATCTACCAAAGATGTAAATGGGCAGACCAAACCATGGACACTAACTGGGTCTCCATGGTAAGCACCAGGTCAAGATGGACCACCAGACTGTGAACCAAATTATTTGTGCTGAGAGTCATCCCACCAAAAGAGAGGGAGTTCCCCAAACCACTGACATGGGGCAACCCACCCACAGGACCTCCATCTTGTATGGGTTCAACCTTAGACCATTCGACTGAATCCACTACAGAACGGCCTCCAGGCAGCGCCCAAGGGATGGAATGGCACCCACTGCAGATGGAAAAAAGGAGATGTAGAGCCAGGTGTCATCAGCATATTGACAGCAAATTGACAGTGGAGGTATTACAGAGTGTTGAATTTTTGATAAAAGTTTCTCTTTTGCTATACACTAGACGTACAGAGTTCCACAAGAAGAAGAAGAAACCCAAAAGCAAACAGAGAGTGCAAGACCCATTA